TCAGTATTCGCAGATGACACAAGTCTGGGTAAGGTAATACAATGTGAGAAGGACATGGTTTTGCTGCAGATAGATTTGGATAGGTTAGTGGACTGGCAGTCAAATGGCAGGTGAAAGTCAATGTGAATAAATCAAAGTAATGCACTTTGGGGTGAATAATGCACAAGCAACTTAAACTATAAATGGTAGTGAATTAGAGATAACAACACATGAGAAAGATTTGGGAATTGTTATAAAAAACTAAACACTAGACAACAGTCTCCAATGTCAATCAGCAGTTGCTAAGGCCAGTAAGGTATTGTAATACATTAAAAAGTGCATTAATTCTGGTGATAAAAATTAATTTTGCCTCGTTATAAATCACTGATAAGACCACACCTTGAATATGCCGTGCAATTGTGGGCACCTGTTCTAACGAAGGATGTTATGACACTAGAAAATGTGCAGAGGCTACAAAATTAATAAGATGAACTGAAGATTTTAGTTATGAAGAAAGGTTAACAAACTTAAATCTGTTTAGTTGAGAAAAATGGCTTTTAAGAGGGGATATGATAGCATTATACAAATATATGAGGCCAATACAAACCATCTGGAGCAGTTAATAATACTGCAATTTGTACAGGCTTGAAAGCCCTGAATAGGTTACAGAGTTTATACTTATATTTACACTTATATTTGTTTATTTGTTTACTGCATATTATGTATCTACTTATGTATTTCAGATCACGGTTTTTGTTGTTTGTTTCTGTAACGGCACCCTCAGCATAAAAGGGTTAAACCGCCGTTTAGTAGATCTTCCCTTCTGGTTTGTGTCACCGCTCAAACAGGGCCAGCACCAAATGACCCGGCTTTCGTGTCTCCGCAGGAGAAAATCAAGCGTTTCAACATGGGGCCATTGTCTAAAGGCAGCAGGCAGGCAACCAGGCTCCTCCAATGCACAGTGGCGAGATTGGTCTCGTCACATCTCTCCCCTTTTCCAAACAGACTAACAGGGTATCTGACCTCCAGCCGGTCAGTGCCCTTGTTAGTCCAGCAGCCCACCCACAAAACACAATCAGCAGTACAGCCCACCCACAATAAATGGTTACTACACCTGGATAGAGGAGAAACTTGTCCATGTCCAGGTGCCTCACCATAGCTGTGCGGGGGACTGGTAGGCTGCTTTGGTGGGTTGCTGATTGGGCAGAGACCAGCGGTACTCTGCCCTGGTGCCAGTGCTACTGTGGAGGTAGCCTGGTTGGAGCCTGGTTGTTGGAGGGAGAGACCGACTGTCTCCCCTTTAGATACACAGCTCTGCTGCCGGAGGGGGAGACCGACTGTCTCCACTTTGGCTAAATAGCCCTGTCGCTGGGGGGCAGAACCGACCATCCCTACCCCCTGTGCTGTAAGTGCAGAGACCATGGTCCCATCTGCACGGTTGTGGGGATTACTGTCTCCCCCTGGTACGTTAAGCTGCCGCTGGGGAGAGGGGGTAACAAGCTCCTCTCCCATATATAATTCCAGCCGCGGGGGAGGGAGACCGACTGTCTCTGCTCCCAATACAGGGTCCTGCTGCTGGGGAAAGGAGACTGGGCTCTCTATTCCCTGTAGGACACTCTGCCGCTGGGGAATGGAGACTGGGCTTCCAATTCCCACTAAATCATACTGCCGCTGGGGAATGGAGACTGGGCTCCCAATTCCCACTAACTCAGCCTGCCGCTGGGGAATGGAGACCGGGCTCCCAATTCCCTGTAATTCACACTGCTGCTGGGGATCTGAGCTGACTGCCCAGCATCCCTGTAGCTCACCCTGCCACTGGGGAGGGAGGACGCTGCTCTCCTCTTCCTGCAAGGTACACTGCCGCTGGGGGACAAGACCAACTGTCTCTGCCCCCTGTAACTTAGCCTGCCGCTGAGGAATGGAGACTGGGCTCCCAATTCCCTGCATATCACACTGCCGCTGGGGAATGGAGACTGGGCTCCCAATTCCCTGCAGTACCTGCCGCTGGAGTTCCTCCCAACATGCCAGCTGACCTTCTCTTTCTGCCCGGTATTGCAGATTCTTGAACACTAGGTTCCTTATAAGCTGCACCGATTTCTCCGGTGGATTGGGTCCGTAGTACTTCAGCCGCAATCCCATCATATTGTCAAACCTACACAAGGCTGGAATGGGCTACAAGACCATCGCTAAGCAGCTTGGTGAGAAGGTGACAATAGTTGGTGAGATTATTCTCAAATGGAAGAAACACAAAATAACTGTCAGTCTCCCCCGGTCTAGTGCTCCATGCAAAATCTCACCTTGTGGAGTTTTAATGATCATGAGAGCGGTGAGGAATCAACCCAGAACTACACAGGAGGATCTTGTTAATGATCTCAAGGCAGCTGGGACATAGTCACCAAGAAAGCAATTGGTAACACACTACCCCCTGAAGGACTGAAATCCTGCAGCGCCTGCAAGGTCCCACTGCTCAAGAAAGCACATGTACAGGCCTGTCTGAAGTTTGCCAATGAACATCTGAATGATTGTGTGAGAACTGGGTGAAAGTGTTGTGGTCAGGTGAGACCAAAATCAAGCTTTTTGGCACCATGTTTGGAGGAGGAGGAATGTGGCCTATGACCCCAAGAACACCATCCCCATCGTCAAACATGGAGGTGGAAACATTATGCTTTGGGGTGTTTTTCTGCTAAGGGCACAGGGCAACTGTAATGCATCAAAGGGACGATGGACAGGGCCATGTACCATCAAATCGTGGGTGAGAACCTCCTTCCCTCAGCCAGGGCATTGAAAATGGGTCGTGGATGGGTATTCCAGCTTGGCAATGACCTAAAACACACAGCCAAGGCAACAAAGGAGTTGCTCAAGAAGAAGCACATTAAGGTCCTGGAGTGGCCTAGCTAGTCTCCAGACCTAAATCCCATAGTAAATCTGTGGAGGTAGCTGAAGGTTTGAGTTGCCAAACGTCAGCCTCGAAATCTTACTGACTTGGAGAGGATCTTCAAAGAGGAGTGGGACAAAATCCCTCCTGTGATGTGTGCAAACCTGGTGGTCAACTGCAAGAAACGTCCGACCTCTGTGATTGTCAACAAGGATTTTGCAACCAAGTAAAAAGTCGAAGGGGTCAAATACTTATTTCAAATAAGTATTTATACCTTTTTTGACATGCATTTTTCTGAATTTTCTTTTTGTTATTTTTGTCTCTCACTGTTAAAATATACCTACCATTAAAACATTTAAAATCAGCAGGGGATCAAATACTTTTTTTCCCTCACTGTAACTATGTAACTATTTAAGGCAGCATTGTGGAAGGGCAAGGTCAGTTCTAAATATAAGTATGTATATTATAGTATAATTTTATTTTCCATTATTGCGCAAACATTTAAATCCAGTACAGGCCTGGAATGCGAACACACATATACTTTGTATTCCTATAGTAATTATAACTTTTGGATTACAGTACAGAATATGAAACAGGTTATAATGTAAACATATTATGTGTATATTTTTAATCACACTCTGTAAATGATTGTCAAATCTTAACAAATTAATTATAATTACCATACAGACTTGTAGACATGTTATGCATCTATGAAAACTTAAAAAATACCTCACCTAGATTGCAAACTAATTCCTAAAGCAATTAACACAGATTGGTAACATGCAAAATCACAGATGAAGACCAATATATGTTTGTATTTAAACGAACATTATAGTGTTAGCAATGCAAACTTGTATTCCTAACCTTATAGTGTTCTCCTCAGCATCTGAATTCATCCCTTCCCCCATAGACCTAATAAAAAAATACAAACAAAGGGCATGATATACCTTTTTTTTTTTCCAGTGCAGAGATCCAGTCCCTGCAGCCACCTGATCTGCCTCCCATGATGTCACGCCATCTCTACATCATCCTGTCCAATGTATTGATTCTCATAAAGGAGTATCAGGGATGAGAAGCACATATCTGGCCAGTGCCATGCTCATCCAGTCAAATTATCTCTGCGGGAAGCAGTTAAGGTTAGCTGTGAGAGCCAAGGGGCCACTTGAGTTGTGCTTAGCCCTGCAATGGAAACAATTGCCAAATCTACTAAATGGTAATGTTTTACTTTGAAGTGTTAAAACTAACTAGTTTGTGCATCTGTAGCAAAAATGGTTTGGGATAAGAAAATGTTTCAGAGTTTTTAATTTCCTGTTTCGTTTTCATAGATATTTAAAAATATCTGTATTTAGAGTTGAGCAGACACCTGGATGTTCGGGTCCGGTGGGTTCAGCCAAACTTTGAAAAAAAGTCCAGGTTCAGGCTCGAACTTGACCCCGAACCTGAACCGCATTGAAGTCAATGGGGACCCGAACTTTTTGGCCAGAAAAATCCCTCTAAAATGGGGGAGCTGCAAAATCAAGTAAAATGGGGGTAAGAGTAAGTGCCCTGCAAACAAATGTGGATGGGGAAATCACTTAAAATACCTAAAAATTAAAAATACAGCTGAGCCATATAATAGCACTAGATGGAATCTTTGATTTTAGCTTTGAAAGAACATAAATCAAAATCTAAAGCATAGCGGTCAGGAGGTTCAACAGAATTATCCATTTGAGAGAGGGTTGGAGTGTAGGGTATTCTCTTTCATTGTTCAAACTGAGCTCAACTCCTGATGCATGGAGAAAAGGCCTTCACAAGCCTCTGCTATTGTGTACATAGTTTATACTAAGTGACAAATAGGTTGAGGAGGCGGTGACCGTGGCGGTGTAGGTGGAAGCAGCGGTGAAGGAGGAGGTAGCCAACACTGTTTTTTATATATATATTTTTTATTTTAATTGGGGTAGCCCCCAAAATATTGGGATATATATAAAAAAAGAAACAATTGCGGCCTGTGGTGCATTTCTTACAGTCGTGATGCATGGAGAAATGCTCAACTCCTGATGCATTGAGAAAAGGCATTCACAAGCCTCTGCTAATGTGTACCTAGTTTATACCACGTGATCCATAGGTTGAGAAGGCGGTGACCGTGGCGGTGGAGGAGGAGAATGAGGTAGCCAACACTGTTTATATATATATATATATATATATATATATATATATATATATATTTTAATTGGGGTAGCGCCCAAAATATTGGGACATATAAAAAAAGATACCTCTGTTCCACAGAGTAGCTGTTGACATTATAGTTGCACAGGAACTTTGTTGATTATAGAGAACCTCGGGCAAATCACACATCCCCATGGAGGCGACTTTGCATGCGGATGTCATCAACTTTCGATGCCAGTTTTTGCGCTTACCATGGTGACCACGTGTAATGGGGAATCAGGGTTCCATTCCTTACAGGGACCCTGAGAAACGGCTACCACATTCAAGGAAGGCAAGAGGAGCGCAAATGACCCACTCCCGACACGGGAAGGTATGACGACAAATAACAATACAGGACTCTTTAGAGGCACTGTAATTGTAATGAGTCCACTTGAAATCCTTTAACTCTGATCAATTGGAGGGAAGTCTGGTGTAGAGCCACTGACCCATGCGTGCTGCAGCTGAAACTCCACTATCGCCTGCTGCTGCTTGCAAAGTCTCATGAGGCGGTGAGCGGTAAGGCCGAAGTTACGCTACAATGCAGACAGGCGAGCAGCAGCAGGGTGACAATGCCAAAAGCATGCACAGCAGCTACAGTGAATGTCACATCCTGTTCCAAGTTGCGGATCAGTCTGGTGATGGCTTATGGTATTAAGTACTCTTTTTACTGAAGCTGCATCAGGGTCCTGGTATGTGGCCACACAAACGCTGGTGCTCAACACCAGGGGGCGTGCGGTTACCCTGCACCAGACCCTGCTAATCCATTCCACACTGTGACTCCTAACTTCAACATCAGGCATACTAGGTCCCAGGCGTCGGACCGCCGGCCAGACAGTGTCTGGGTCCTGGTCACTGGATTGCCTACATCACTGGGAAACTACGAATGGATTGTTAAATCTGGTACGAACCCGAACTTTGCAGTTCGGGTTCACTCCAGTCTATTATGGATCCTTTGATCGTTACATGTATTACTTGGATAACTGGTAATTCTCGAGCTAATACATGCCAACGAGCGCTAGGGGACGGCCGCTGCGCTTTTGCACCCTGCTCCCTCTTATGCTGTGCTGGTGCCTCTGTGCCACAGCGCCTCTTCCTCCAAACTGCACACATCACTCGTATGACCTTGATTCTATGTGGGATCTAGGACCTCATCATCCTCCACATCATCTCATCATCTTCCACCCACTCCTCAACCCTGCCCTCCTTTGATTGCTACATGTATTACTTGGATAACTGGTAATTCTCGACCTAATACATGCCAACAAGCGCTAGGGGACGGCCGCTCTGCTTTTGCACCCTGCTCCCTCTTATGCTGTGCTGGTGCCTCTGTGCGACCAGCGCCTCTTCCTCCAAACTGCACACGTCACTCGCATGACCTTGATTCCACGTGGGGTCTAGGACCTTATCATCCTTCACATCATCTTCCACCCACTCCTCAACCCTGCCCTCCTTGCCGGTATGCACACTGCAGAAAGCCACATCAGTTGGCACCTGTGTTTTTCCAGCATGTAAAGTCTGGACATATGGAAATTGTTTTAGAATTTACTCCAGGCAACAGTTTTCCCTATAAACTGACCTCTCAGTTTGACTTGTGAGGGTATTGCCCCAGAATTACAATATTGTTGAAGTAACTCTTAGCTATTGATCACTGGTTTAAATATAGCAGCTTGTTATCTGGTAGTTTCTAGTGTAGAAAATATAAATCTGTTTTCTATCACTTAGATCTGTGTAACAAGTGTTGTAGGTGTGAAACAATATTACAAGTGACCGATGTAGTAAATTCTAATCAAAGTTACGCTTTGCTTTGACTCTCAGATTTGAAGTGAACACCCCAAATATACTATTTAGTGCCCCCCAAAATTTTACTTTTTAAAACTCCAATGTAAGCAGTAGATTAGCAGCAAAACAATTAGAATGTTTACAAGTGCGCAGTTAACACACTATTAGATGCTTCAATTTGACTTTCAGATATGAAGAACAGGCCCCAAAATTTACTATTTAGCAGATTAGCAGCAAAACAATTAGAATGTTTAGAAGTGCGCAGTAAGCACACTATAAGATGCTTCAACTTGACTCTCAGATATGAAGAACAGGCCCCAAAATGTACTATTTAGAAGATTAGCAGCAAAACAATTAGAATGTTTACAATTGTGCTGTAACCGCAGTATTAGACGCTTCTATTTGACTTTAAGATATGAAGTACACGCCCCAAAATGTACTATTTAGCAGATTAGCAGAATTTTTTTTAGAATGTTTACAAGTGTGCAGTAAGCACACTGTTAGACGCTTCTATTAGACTCTCAGATATGAAGAACAGGCTGCAAAATGTACTATTTAGCGGTTTAGCAGCAAAACAATTAGGATGTTTACCACTGCGCAGTAAGCGCACTATTAGATGCTTCTATTTGACTCTCAGATATGAAGTGCACCCCACTAATGTACATTTTAGCACCCAAAAAAATTTACGTTTTAAAACTGCAATGTGACAGCAGTATTTGACGATTCTATTTGACTCTCAGATATGAAGTGCACCCCACTAATGTACTATTTTGCACCAATTTTTTTTTTTACTTTTTAAAACTCAGATGTAACCGCGGTATTTCAAGGTTCTATTTGACTCTCAGATATGAAGTGCCCCCCACCCCACCAATGTACTAGTTTGCTGAATTCTTTCCTAAGCTGTCCCTATCAGCGGCAGCATCCTCTCTCTACACTAATAGGACTGCATGTGCGTGCAGTGCTACGCGACTCTAGCTTATATATAGAGGCTGGGTCACATGCTGCACTGGCCAATCACAGCCATGCCATTAGTAGGCATGGCTGTGATGGCTTCTAAGGGAACACGAGTTAAACACTTGTTGATTGGCTGCCATGCAGCCTTTCAAAACGCGCCATTAAATCTCCGAACACCGAACTTCAACCCGGGGTCCAAAAAACCTAATGTTCGGTACGAACCCGAACTTTTCAGTTAGGGTTCGCTCAACTCTAATTATAATAAGTCATACAATAAACCTAGCAAAAATAATACGTTGTCCAGCTTTGTTGCTTGGCCACCTAACAATCAATTTAGGATTGTAGGAGCAAACAACCACAATTCTGTAAAATACATTTATGATGCAGTATGTTGCATCACATATACATTGCTCAAAAAAATAAAGGGAACACTTAAACAACACAATGTAACTCCAAGTCAGTCACACTTCTGTGAAATCAAACTGTCCACTTAGGAAGCAACACTGAGTGACAATCAGTTTCACGTGCTGTTGTGCAAATGGGATAGATAACAGGTGGAAATAAGAGGCAATTAGCAAGACACCCCCAATAAAGGAGTGATTCTGCAGGTGGTGACCACAGGCCACTTCTCAGTTCCTATGCTTCCTGGCTGATGTTTTGGTCACTTTTGAATGCTGGCGGTGCTTTCACTCTAGTGGTAGCATGAGACAGAGTCTACAAGCCACACAAGTGGCTCAGGTAGTGCAGCTCATCCAGGATGGCACATCAATGCGAGCTGTGGCAAGAAGGTTTGCTGTGTCTGTCAGCGTAGTGTCCAGAGCATGGAGGCGCTACCAGGAGACAGGCCAGTACATCAGGAAACATGGAGGAGTCCGTAGGAGGGCAACAACCCAGCAGCAGGACCGCTACCTCCGCCTTTGTGCAAGGAGGAACAGGAGGAGCACTGCCAGAGCCCTGCAAAATGACCTCCAGCATGCCACAGATGTGCATGTGTCTGCTCAAACAGTCAGAAACAGACTCCAGGAGGGTGATATGAGGGCCCGACATCCACAGGTGGGGGTTGTGCTTACAGCCCAACACCGTGCAGGACGTTTGTCATTTGCCAGAGAACACCAAGATTGGCAAATTCGCCACTGGCGCCCTGTGCTCTTCACAGATTAAAGCAGGTTCACACTGAGCACATGTGACAGACGTGACAGAGTCTGGAGATGCCATGGAGAACGTTCTGCTGCCTGCAACATCCTCCAGCCTGACCGGTTTGGCAGTGGGTCAGTAATGGTGTGGGGTGGCATTTTTGGGGGGGCCGCATAGCCCTCCATGCGCTTTCCAGAGGTAGCCTGACTGCCATTAGATACCGAGATGAGATCCTCAGACCCCTTGTGAGACCATATGCTGGTGCGGTTGGCCCTGGGTTCCTTCTAATGCAAGACAATGCTAGACCTCATGTTGCTGGAGTGTATCAGGAGTTCCTGCAAGACGAAGGCATTGATGCTATGGACTGGCCCGCCCGTAGCCCAGACCTGAATCCAACTGAGCACATCTAGGACATCATGTCTCGCTCCATCCACCAATGTCACATTGCACCACAGACTGTCCAGGAGTTGACAGATGCTTTAGTCCAGGTCTGGGAGGAGATCCCTAAGGAGACTATCTACTACCTCATCAGGAGCATGCACAGGAGTTGTAGAGAGGTCATACAGGCACGTGGAGGCCACACACACTACTGAGCCTCATTTTTACTTGTTTTAAGGACATTACATCAAAGTTGGATCAGTCTGTAGTGTGTTTTTCCACTTTAATTTTGAGTGGGACTCCAAATCCAGACCTCCATGGGTTGAAAAGATTTATTTCCATTTTTGAATTTTTGTGTGATTTTGTTGTTACACAACAAGGACACAAGGCCATGCGTTTAGACTGGATGAAAGAAGATTTTGTCTAAGGCAAATGAAAGGTTTTTTTACTGTAAGAACAATCAGAATGTGGAATTCTCTGCCTGAAGAAGTGGTTTTATCAGAGTCCATACAGATGTTCAAACAGCTACTAGATGCATACTTGCAAAAACAGAATATTCAAGGATATAATCTTTCAATGTAGGGTAATAACTGCTTGATCCAAGGATAAATCTGACTGCCATTCTGGGGTCAAGAAGGAATTTTTTTCCTAGCTTGTTGCAAAATTGTGCTTCAAACTGGGTTGTTTTGCCTTCTTTTGGATCAACAGCAAAAAACAAATGCTATGTATTATTTTTTTTGAGCAGTGTATATTGTTAGATTAGTACATTGATAAGTTTAGATTTAATTAGTGTAAATTTGGTTTAGCGGTCGCTTAACTAGGTTGGCCTTCGTGTGTGAGCTTTCAGTCTGGCTAAGCGATCAGACGTGGCCATTTTCAGCATCAGCAGACACAAATGTAGCATGCAGCGTGGTTCGTGGGGCGGTGAGTGTCGGGCAGGGTGAGGGTTTAACATCGAATACCTGGACTTTTATAGTAATGTATTTAATATAATTCACTATATAATTGGTAATATTATATTATTAATATTATGTGAATTAATGGCAATGAATAAACAGGTCTGTCTTGTATTTCAACTTCACCTCTTTTTTTT